CTTTGAACTTTTAAAAGGTAAGCTTAAATATTAAATATTAATGTAATACTTAAATACAGCGATCAATTTTGATTTCTTTTCTAGTTTATGGTTGCCTATCGCATCTACTCCTCCGTATCTATTGTGATGGAGGCTGCATCAAGAACCCTACGTAGGAGCTAGCTTAAATGCCACTCAATGGGGGTGGTAAGCTAGTTTAAAATAAGGCTTTTTGATATGTCACTCTTCAGAATATATATCAATATATGTAAAATTACAGTGACGTGGAAAATGAAATCAGGTCTTCAAACACCACCTATGGAAAAATGCTGCTCACTTTTTGTTTCAACCCAATGTTATCTTTCATTTTCTGTATATTGTTTTTTCTTCCCTCCACTATCTCCCTCCTTCTCTCTCAATCTTCTTAACCTATTCTCATTTTTTCGTTTTTCCCTTCATCCTATTCTCTCTTCTCTCTCACTTTGTCTTCCGAAATTGTTGACTCTCTCTTTCATCTTTTCATTTTCTCTATCTCATTCCCTCTTTATACTTGTCTCTTCCTAACTTTTTCTCTCTCTCTTCTTTCATTTCCTTCAATCATATTCTCTCTTTCCTTCAATATCTCCTTCTTTTCTCTCTCTCTCTCTCTCTCTCTCTCTCTCTCTATCGCTCTCCCTCTCTCTTAGTTTTCTTATTCACTTCTCACTTCCTCAGCCTTTACTTTCTCTATCCCATTCACTTTCTCTCTATTGTTGTTCATCTCTTCTCATTCTCTTTTTTCCTACCCTCCTTCTCTCTCCATTCTCTCTCTCTCTCTCTCTCTCTCTCTCTCTCTTAGTTTTCTTAATCACTTCTCACTTCCTCAGCCTTTACTTTCTCGATCCCATTCTCTTTCCTTACTCTTTTCTCTCTATTCTTTATCTCTTTTTTCTCTATATGCCTCATTTTCTCTTTCCTCTACCCTCACCCAGTCTTCCTACCCTCCTCCTCTCTCCAACGCATTCTCTCTCTCCCTCTTTCTCTCTCTCTCCTCTCTCTCTCTCTCTCTCTCTCTCTCTCTCTCTCTCTCTCTCTAGATCTTACCACTTCTCGAAGCTCTTTGTTCTTTTCTTGCCAATCAGCAACGCGCAAGCCGTTTGTACTCCACTGGTTACAAGTGCTTCAGGTCATCGCAGGTCTTTTTGTATCTTCTCTGATGGAGAGCTCACCAGCCTCTATTTCAAATCGGAGTCGAAGATGGCCGTGAGCGGTGCTAATCTCAATTCATGGAAATTCCTGAAGAGAAGAAACACAACAACAACAACAACAACATTACTTACCAACAACTCTCATGATTCTCCGACTTTTGACTCGGTTTCAGAGTCGGCTTAATTCTCCACCATCTCTTCTCGCAGGCAATATCCGGCAGGCGACAATTATTGTCATTAAGAAACAAGAGGCGTCATCACTAAGACGGCAGCCATTACGAAATCTCGTGATAGCCCCATTGGCTAAACAGCTTCAAGCATCGTCGCCTCAACACAGCTACCATCCACACACACACACACACACACATATATATATATATATATATATATATATATATATATATATATATATATATATAAAGTAGGGAGGTACATCCAAAGATTCGATAAACAACGAGCATACTATGATGAAAAAATGTTCCAAACTTAATAAAAAATAAAGTTTTATCGTCAGAATCTTTGTTATTATTAAGAGGAAAGATCAAAGAATTTTTGGGTTATTAAATTATATTTTTTGATCCTTCAAAATTTTGCTTAATTTTATTTTCTTACGTCAGCGGGCGACCATAAATTATTATCAGAAAGGTTACCGTCTTTTTGCGGTGAGAAAACAGACGGATTTCAAATAATTGTCGGATTTAATGAAACGTCCAGGACTTATTCATACATGAATGAAATTATTTTAGAAATGTTTCTTTTTCAAAAGATATTGGTAAAAATATTTTTTATGAAATTTCGACAAATTCATTTTTGTAGGGTTTAATGCTTATATTAGATATAAGCAGAATCTGTTTGTAAAACAGGGCCCCCTCGCATTTACCGAAAATCTGCTCTGAATCGTAAAATAAAAAATGCTATAAAACAAAGACATTATTGAATTAGAAAAGCTTTCAATTGCTTTTATGAATAAAATATATTATGGACACAATTGTCTAAAGAAAAAACTTTTTTTTTTGATGAATAATGAATTTTTAACAAAAACTGTTTTCATTTTTTTAAATTTTAATTCGAATTATTTATAAAGTTTTAAATCGTCTGCGTTTGCTAAGAATATAGAAATTGTATAGATTGACAAATGCCGAAGAATAGCCAAATAAACTTACTCTGACGGCAATTGAGAGACAATGTTCTAAAAAAAGCTTAGAATTTTCAGTTTAGTTAATTATTTCCAAGAAACCCTGTAAATTTTCTTTCATTTTGACTTTCTTTTTTAAAAGAATTCTGTGTACTTCTGTACATGTAAGCCAATGACCAGCAAATATTACTCGGGGTCTGACGTTATCTGTAGCCAAAGAGCCTAAAGATATTCATAGAATCCTCAAGCTACATGTCGTCTAAGCTCCTTCAAATTATACTGGCGTCTTCACGCTAGTGACTTTCAAATATTAATGAAGGCCTCACGCTACTTCACATATTTATGGGGGTCATCCCGCTGTATGTAGTGCAAGGTCGACTATATATTAGTGGGGATATCACGCTATTTGTAATCTATCGATCTACAATACTTTAACCCGATAGAAGCATTTACCAGTTTTTACTAATGCCATTGGTATTAAGATCAACAAACCAGCTAACAAAATTGCGTTGCTACAGCGTTTCTTCAAAAATATCTCTCTGGAATATATTATTATCCATTTTCTGCAGAGGAGCCGGCACGTTACAAAAAGATATTTTTGCAAAGTTAACGTTGAAAATATAACGCCTTCTAACCTACATTGTTTTAATCGGTATCATCCCAAGCAAGGCAGTAATGCCAACAGAACACAAGGGGTTACAGGGTGTGGAAGAATTACGAACAGTTTGGACTTTTAAGGAGGGTAGAAGGTTCGAGTGCCAAATCTTGTCAAGTTTATTACCCGCATCCCATGCAAGAATTTTGCGAATGTTGAAGTCTTTTTGGGAATCTCTTATGTGAGATTTGAAGATTTTGATGGATGTATTATTGAGTATTTTAGTCTTATATTAGAATTAAATTTAAAGACAATTCATCACTGTCCACATTCCACGCACATGTTGTTGAAAACATTTCCTGCTCATCGTTATCATCCTTCGACTTCCCTATGCTTGGTCGGAACACCATTGATAATCCTTTTCCACACTATTCGGTACTGCATTGCTGTCTCCAGACCCCCAATGTCCAACCCTGAGTCCCGAGCTATGGTGTCTGGGAAAGTCAATTTCCGTGAGAAGACACTTCCAGAAGGATGCCAAAGGAGTAAGGATGAGATAATTTCCATATCTGCTCGGTGGCACTGGGCAGGCAAACTGTAGTCGTTTTTGCTTGAGCTTAAGAGAGATTGGCCTCATTTCTCCATAGATTACATTAAGTGTTGCATGGGATCTCCCACTGATGTTCTCGATGTTTTTAAGCAGATTTGTATATGTTCCATCCAATCGTCTTTCAAGGCGAACAGATAATGTCCAAGTTTCAGATCCATACAGTAGGACTGGTTCAGTCAATGTTTGAATAGTTTTATTATTTCTTGGGGTGAATTAATATTTGCGATAAGTAATTTTATATTATTTGGGGTGAATTAACAGAAAAGATGCAGAATGACTAAACAAACTTGCTCTAATGGCAACTGAGATACAATGTTCTAAGAAACATTTTGTTGACAATTATTTCCAAGAAAATCTTTTAGTTTAAGTTGTTTTTAACCTTTGAAAAATAAATTTAATTTTATTTTAACTTTTGTTTTAAATTACTGCGTTCTTCAGTACCTGTAAGCCAATAACCTAGAAATATTCATCATCATCCTTCGACCTCCCTACAATTGGTCGTAACTCCATTGACAATCCCTTTCCACACTGCTCAATCCTGTATTGCTATCTCCAGATCCCCAATGTTGAACCCTGAGTCCCGAGCTATGGTGTCTGGGAAAGTCAATTTTCGTGAATACCATAGGAGTAAGTATGAGATGATTTCCCTGTCCGTTCTGTGTCAGTGGTTGACAAATTGTAGTCGTTTTTGTTTGGGCTTAAGAGAGATTGGCCTCATTTCTCCATAAATTGTATTAAGTGTTGCATGGGATCTCCCACTGATGTTCTGGATTTTTCTAAGCAGATTTGTATATGTTCCATCCAATCGTCTTTCAAGACGAACAGATAATGTCCAAGTTTCTGATCCATACAATAGGACTGGTTCAGTCAATGTTTAAATAGTTTGGACTTTTAAGGAGAATGGAAGGTTCGAGCGCCAAATCTTGTCAATTTTGTTACCCGCATCCCATGCAAGAATTTTGCGGATGTTGAAGTCTTTTTGGGAATCGCTCATGCGAGATCCAAGATATTTGAAGTCCTCAACACTTTTGGTGGTTGTATTAATGAGTGATTTCAACTCGAATGATTCAGGGATGCTTGTGATGTATTCTGTTTTACTCTCGTTGCAATAGAAACCTACCTGGTTCGTTGCTTGCTCGAGTTATTGTAGCAAGAATTCAAATATTGTTACAAATATTACTCGGGTCCTAACGCTATCTGTAGCCGAAGAGCCTAAAAATATTCATGGAATCCTCACGCTACATGTCGTCTAAGCAACTTCAAATGATACTGGCGTCTTCACGCTAGTAACTTTCAAATATTAACGAAGGCCTCACGCTACTTGGAGACCAAAGTATTGTGACGGACGCAGATAGCCTAAACACGCATATATTAAGGTTAATTTCCGCCTAGCAACAGAATGGGGGTCACGTGGAAGTCTTGTGACATTTTGGGAAAGCAAGTCAAGAGGTTGACTGACCCAGTTACCCGTAGCAACAAATGTCTAGACAGAAGCTAGACAGGGGACTGATGTAAGCTGGAATTCGCGCCAAAACTCAAGACATGTGAGAGTTCAAAATTCACTTGGGAGTCAGTTGCTGTCTTGTCTTTGAAGGAGCAGGACTCGAAATCGAAGCGCTGATAACTTATGAACGGAAAGATAAGACTCATTTGATAATGATGGAACTTGTCTGATTCATCCCAGGCAACTCCGGACAAGAAATATAAGAACGAGTATTTCTGTTCGATAACCCCAAATTGAAGACGCAGGGAAATTTGTACGCTGAGAATACAGCCTGCGTTTGAAGAAAAGAGAAAACCAGAGAGGAAGAAAGTATACACCTCTGTTACAAGTTGAATTGTGTAAAGAAGAAGAAAGAAAGAAAGAAAGAAAGAAAGAAAGAAAGAAAGAAAGAAAGAAAGAAAGAAAGAAAACCAAAGAGAGGAAGAAAGTGTATATCCCTGTTGCGGTGAGTCGGGTTCGGAAACTGAACTGTATACAGACGAAGAAAGAAGGAAAGAAAAAAAGGAAAAACAGAGAGAGAAAGAAAGTGTATATCTCTGTTACAGCCGGACAGTGTGTGAAATCGTATTTGTGTCAAGAAAAGAAAAGAAAGGACAATGATAAAAAAAAGAGAACTGAATATAAAGATAAGTAATTATATATTTTGGACCCGTGTTAGAAAGATACACATCCATCCATAAATATTATGTTCTTACAAACACCTTTCCACATGTCAAAATAATAATATGTAACTCCTATCCCATCTCTTTTGTGTATGCGTTGATTTCTGCATTTGTAGTAATTCATACTTATATTTTTGTCCGTTCGGGTTCAGTCGAATCCATTTGGAGTTATGCGAATTTTGAGATCCCAACGTATACAGTCTTGAAATCTGGTCGTCGGATATTTTTTACTCATGCTTATATTTTCTTTTATTTTAATATTTTGTATATCTTTACAAATATAGTTCTTGTATCAAGATTCGCTAAGCCTTATCGTTCATCCTTGAATTGTGGATCAGTATTCGTGTTGAAACCGAAGCGAACCTGGGAAAAGATTACTGTTGGATTATCCTAATCGAACAGTGTTCTTAAAATATTTTTTTGTTTACCAATTGTCCATTGCCACGATCTGAGAGAGATAGCCTGTATCTCTCCACAGGTGTGATAATGTATATATCTTCTGGTCGGCGTATGATCGCCTTATAAACCCATTCGTCGACTAGGGCATATGACAGTATCTACACATATTTATAGTGGCCGTCACGCTGTATATAGCGCAAGGTCGACTATGTATTAGTGGGGATCTCACGCTATCTGTAATCCATGCATCTGCAATACCTAAACCGATATTAGTCACAACCATTAACCAGTTTTTACTAATACCATTGCTATTAAGATCAACAAACCAGCTAACAAAATTACATTGCTACAGCGTTTCTGCACACGTTACAAGGTAACGTTGCAAAGATATCACCTTATAGCGCGACGGATACTCTGCAGAAAAGGGATATTCATAAATTCCAGGGAGGTATTAGAACATGCCTTCATTATCTAAATTAGTGATTCTCAACAACAACAAAAAATTAAATAAATCACAATAACATTCAGTGTTAGTGGAGATTAGCCTACGAGATAATCCCACGGCATCTGTGTAAACCAATGGTTTTCAAATGATGCGCCCGGGCGTACTGGTACGTCCTGGAAGATGTCTAGGTGCGCCCTGGCATCTTCCAGAGAAATATGTGTCCAGATATAAGAAATAAAAATATTTACTTTATTATATTGCTGCACCCGTCTCGTTCATATTTATGTGAATTAGGCTTTTTCTGCTCTCACCACGATTAAGTTCAAAAACAGAGGAACTCTTCAATGTATTGAGGAGGAAATGAGAGTTTGCCTATCAAATATACACCCAAACATTGAAGAAATCGCTAAGACTCATCAGGTTAATTTTTCTCATAAACACATGAAGGAATAAACATAATGCATGTTTTATTTTATATATTTATTTATTGCATTATTTCTTTTCTGCAATATTTGACTTCATTATAACATATTTTTTCCGAAATTTGTATATAGTGCGCCTACAATTATTGGTAGAATTTCAAGTGCGTCTCGACTTCAAAAAGTTTGAAACATGGTGTAAACATTAGACTGCTAGATACCTCAACATCGCAGATGATACATTCCTTTCTATTTGATATTACGTTATTATGAAATGAGGCTACGGTGTCTGCAGCATCTAAACATTGTTGATTGATTGGCTGATTTTTTACGGCTTATTTGCAGGTTATTTAAAGCCAACAAATATTTTTAGATTGTAAGATTTTTTTTTCATTGAGACAATAATAATTTAGTTATACAAGTCTTATTGATTAACTCTTAGCTAAAGAGAGGTGGATTCATACCTTTCGCAAAGGTATTTACGCGTAATTGCATATAACAAGCCCAACTGGAATTGGAACTCGGCCCTCCCATTTACAATTCCAAGCTATTATCCATTACACCACCCGCACATCTAAGGCTTAGAAAACACAGCAAAACATTAGCCTAGTCCCCACAATCTGCATAATAAGACCCCCCTCCCAAACATACACACTATTTTCATTTTATAGTAGACTCAGGCTAAATATTAGGTTGGTGCAAAAATAATGACGTATTAATGTCGTTTTTGACGTTAAAAATACGTCAAAAACGACATTATTACGTCATTATTTTTGCACCAACCTAATACAAATGATAGTTGTTTACAGTCTTTCGCTCAGCATTAGCCTACCCTATATATCTCAACTTTACATGGAAGAATCCGGAAATGAGTTCGATCCTCACTGGGTGCCCCAAACTTTCGGCCTTGTGCCACATCTAAGCTTCGCTTGGAAAATCACTAAAAGAACCCGGAAATGGTTTTACAGCCATTTGAAGAGAATTTTTTTTTTTTTTTAATGTTACCAAATTCCGTAGATAATTGTTTTATTCCTTAACATTGATCGATTGGGTTGTTTTATTATTATTTTTTCAATATTCTTTGGATTATTTAAAGTTGAAACATGTTGTAACCAGTTTCTTCTGGCTTGTAATAAAGTTTTTTGATCCACTTCCTCCAATTTACAAAGTAGCGTAAAGTTTTTTTTCGCCCGCGCCTATCCTTCAAATTTATAAATCAACCATTTGCCCTTGCATGGAATACTGCTGCCATATATGGTCTGGGGCTCCCGCTGTTCGTCTTAAGGTCCTCGACAAAATCCAGAGACGGATATGCAATGTGATTGGCCCTGATCTAGCGTCTCGTTTACAGTCGCTCTCACACAGACGTTCCGTCGCTTCCCTCTGTCTTTTCTAGAAATTTTTTTCACGGTAACTGCTACGACGAGCTACTTTCGCTAGTTCTCAAACTGCATGAATTTAAGCGTTCAACTACGCTGGCATCTCGCTCTCACCCTTCCACTATCGAAACGGTTAAATGTAGCCGTCTCATCTACTCCAATAGCTTCATGTCTCACACTTCCCATCTGTGAAACTCCCTTCCTATTACTTGCTTCCATGATAGCTATAATCTCCAACTATTCAAATGTAATGTCAATCGACATCTCCAGATGTTTTGATCTATCCTCTATCCTTCTCTTCATCCTTTCTTCTATCCCGCCTCTTTACTCTTGCTCTCACTCTCTGTAACCCCTTGCGTGTTAGTGGCACTCCCGCCTTGCTTGGGGGTGAAATGCTTTAAAAAAAAGTATCTCCTGTTTCCCACGTTCATTGTGTGTCACCTTTTGAAGCACTTTTTATAGATTGAATGACAGTTCAAATTTGCATAGGTGGAACGAGATTCTCGCGAAATTATCCGAATTCGAGATCATTTTTCTTCTTTTTTTTTTTCTTTTTTTAATATACGACTCGTAAAGCCGCCATTTTCTTTTTGGGGATATTTTACAAGCGGGAAATATAATCCGTTTTCGTCCAGAAGGTAAGCCATTTTCTCTAGCGTTACACATATTTTAGATTGTAAGAATAATTATTCATTTTCTGCGAGTAAATATTGAACTAACAATTTAAAAAAAAAATAATAATAATCTCGCCCACCCCAGCTACAAGTTCTACTATTTAACCAATAGCTGGGGGAGAAGAGATGGGTTCTTACTTTTACCAGTGGTAGTTGCGCGCAAGTGAATGTAACGAACGCGACTAGAATTCGACCTCGGTTTTCTGATATCGCGTCCCAAGCCGCTACCCATTACACCACCCGCACATCCTTTGTGCTCTAACAACTAAAATAAATCGTGTAAATTTATTTAAATTACATTTTTTAAATGTTTTTTTTTTCCGTTTACAAACACCACTTGATATTCTTCCCTCGGCAATTACTCAAACCGAATGGCAATGCGTGGGCGTCTTGCCCACGCGAAGATTAGCAAATCTAAGTGGGTCACGGAAGGAGATCCTCACAATGTTTTTTCTTTCTCCCGAGAAATTTGCTATTTGGCATTGGTTTCTCAAAACATGTTGGTTCTCACAGTTAATTCGAAGCACAATTTCTCCGGTAAAAGGCAAACGTTGGTAGCTGTTGGCAGTTGCCCATTGTTAAATACGAAAAAACGAGCAGATGCGAATGGACAATTGCCAGCAATGCAGGCTTGCTGGCTAAGTGATTCGGATTTCAAGTACCGGACTGGTGAGGCGTTCTTTCTAAGAGTTGATTTCAACTCTTCTTTAAAAAAAAAAAATACCCCGAAATGAAAAACTGTATATTTATGATCTTTTGAACATATGCCCTAAAAGTGCATGTGTCCTGGCATTTAAATTGGGGATAAGCTAAATTTCTATCCATTGATCTTCATATAAATTCTAAGGAAACGTCAATGTGGGGTTATAGGGTCTACCAGGGTAAAATGAGTAAGATAAAGCCTATTTTGAAATTCGAATCCTCATATTATTTCCTATAACGGACTTAATAATAAAAAAAAAGCCACTATGTTTGCACCACAAGTTTTCTCTTTCAGGCAGCATAGTTACTTGATATGAACATATAAGCCAGAGATTCTCGCGAAATTATCCGAAATCAAGATCTATTTTCTTCTTTTTTTTTCTTTTTTAATATACGACTCGTAAAGCCGCCATTTTCTTTTTGGGGATATTTTACAGGCGGGAAATACAATCCGTTTTCGCCATTTTCTCTAGCGTTACACATATTTTGGATTGTAAGAATAATTATTATGTTTATGTTTGGACCTTTTTGTACGAAATTGAAAATAATAGTGAGGTAAAATGGGTAGGTAACTATCTATTATTATCCTTTACATTACGAAAATAATGCCCTAGGCATCCTCGCATAACAACAGTTATTACTTCAATCAAGTAACACAATATACAGGGTATGGCAAAAAAAGTTGCGCGCCATAGTATAATTTGTTAAAATTATAATTATACCTGAAAATGTTAATTACTAGTTATTTAATTGTTATATAGGGTGACCCCCAAAAAACCTGAACTTTT